TATTTTTGTCTTTGTCTCAAAGGTGTGTCTCTTGTAGACAGCATATTGATGGGTTATGTTTTCTTATCCAGTCTGCAGCTCTCCATCTCTTGAGTGGTACATTTAATTCATTGATATTAGTGTAATTATCGACAAGTATGAATTGGTTGCTGTCATTTTGTTATGTGTTTTTTCATTTTCCATATAATTTTCTGTGCTGAGCTCATTATGTTTATGAATCATGTTATCATTTCTTTTGTTGCTATTGTTTTAGTGTTTGCTAAATATTTGTGCTTGTCCTCTTTTTTATTGTAATGTGAAGATTTATCATTTTTCTTTGAGGTTACCCTGTGATTTGTAATTTTCTCCCTGAGTTTAGAACAGTCCATTCTATCTTGCAACTCTCTTGACTTCCTCACCATTTAGAAGTTCTTTTGTTGTTGTTGTTATGTGCCCTCAAGTTGGACCCGACTCATAGCGACCCCTCCTTGGGTTTCCAAGTATAACTACACTATTTTTCCCCTCTTTTTAGTTTGTAGTTGTCCTCATTTGCTAATTGATGTCTCTGGTTCCCTGTTTACAACTTTGTAAGCTTATTTTACTTTAGATACTTCCATAGCTGTGTTGGTTCCTAGGTTATATCTTGTGTATTAATGGTCTGTTGTTATTTCCTATTGTTGGTTCTCTGTTCAAAGGACTCCCTTTGTACCTCTTCTAAGGTTCATCTGGTTTTAAGAAATTCTCTTAATTTCTGTTTATCTGGAAATCTCCTAATTTCATCATCATATTTGAGGGACAATTTTTCAGGGTATATAATTCTTAGTTGGAAATTTTTCCCTTTCAGGGTTTTATATATACCATCCCATTGTCACCTGCATGGTTTCTGCTGAGAAATCGGAGCTTATTCTTGTTGGTTGTCTTTTGTAGTTAACTTTTCGTTTTTCCCATGCTGCTTTCCGGATTCTTTCTTTGTCTTTGGTTTTGGTGAGTTTGATGATGATATGTCTTGGTGATTATCTTTTGGGGGGTCTATCCTGTTTGGGGTTCACTGGACTTCTTGAATGGATATATTCTTATCTTTCATTATACCAGGGAAGTTCTCTTCCAACAAATTTTGGACAATTTCTTCAGTGGTTTTCTTTTTATCTTCCTGTTCTGGAATTACAGTGACTTGTAGGTTATTCCCTTTGATGGTATCCCACATGAACCTTAGGCTTTCTTCATTTTGCTTTGATCTTTTTCCTGATTGATCCCTTTCCAAAGACGTATTCAGGTATTTGTCTTCAATCTCATTAATTTTGTCTTCCATTGATTCAATTCTACTCCTTTACCCTTTCACTGTGGTATGTATTTCTGAAAAGTTAATATTAATCTTACGAATTTTTATCTGTAGATTTTGTATCATTTCTAATTTTTCATTTAGTTTGTCATTTGGTTCTTGTATTTTCTTCCAAAATTTTTCTAGGGTTTTGTCTGTGTTTTCCTTAATTTTGTCAGTGTTTCCCTTGATCTCTCTCTCAATCCTTTGAGGATACCCAAGTATAATTCTTTTGAATTCCATATTAGAGAGTTCCAGTGCTGTTGCTTCCTCAGAGATGTGTTCTGGGTCTGTATCCTTCTCCCTTGTTTCTACCACTTTATCTTGCTTCTGTGTGTGGATTGTGATGGTCTGTTGTCTCTGAGACATCGTGACATTGTTGTATTTAGATCTCTGTTAACTTTTTGTGAAGAGCAGCTAAGGGTGAGTCAGGCTCTTCTTGGCAGTTATTTATTATTGGCCAGTTGGTGGAGAAGGAAGTGGTGGCTCTCACTCAATAAGTGGAGCTGCAGGAGATATGGGTGTGGTTGCATCTTATGGGTACAGTTGATGTCTCCCACTCAGACAAAAACAACAATCAAAAAAGTAAAAGCAAGTGGACAAAAAAACACACTGCATAAACACACAGGAACAATCACTGAAAAAAGAAAAGGGAAGGAAAAAAAACAGTATCTGGGAAGAGGGCAATAAGAGAAAAGAGATAGAGTAAGATAGAGATAGAGTAAGAGGATAATTAAGGAAAAAAATGGGAAAAATCCAAAAAGAAAAACAAGGAATGGGGTGGACTAGAAAAAAAACAAAAAATGGGACCCAGGAACAAGGGAGAGAGAAAAAGCTGTAAACTAGAACTTGGGAAAGGAAGAATAAAAAATAATAATAAAAAGGATGAAAAATAAAGAATAACAGTAATGATTTTAAAACAGACAAAAACAAGCAAAAAAATCTGGGTGGGGCAGGGCACCCAGGTCTGTCAGAGCACACAGACTGGAATGAAATTCCTGCCAGCCCAGAAGGTGGGTGGGAGTGAGGGATGGCTGCACCTCCTTTCACCAAAAGGGTGTGGGTGTAAGAGTAACAAGGGGAATATTGCACCCTTCCAGTTGTTTGTGTCTGGAATGTCCTTTGAGGTTCCTGGCAAGTGGAGCCTATTCTTAGGTCCCTAGAATCTGAGAGAATGCTATTGCTTTAAATATCCAAAATGGCTGAACCACTTGTAAACATTCAAAATGGCTGGGTCCTCTGGACAGGCAAAAGTCCGCAGCTTACCCTCTCTCCCTCTTCGCTGCTTCCCCTTTTATTTGTGAGCCACCACTGCAGTCCTCGGTGCAGCCCCTTGACTGGCAGGGTGGTTTTTCGGTTAATTCTTAGGTCCTAACGCCACTTGGCAATATCCAAGCTGTCTATGCTATCAGGATTGTTGACAGACTGCAGCTCTGCATGTCTCCTTTTTTGGTGTTTTCATGCTGGTTCTTCTACTAGTTGGAGTGGTAGTGGACTACCACTTTCGTTTCCTTCCTTTTAAAGCTCAGGGCTCCGGAATTATCTTCTGTATCTGTGTTAATTGATTCCCCTTTTCTTTTTTGAAGAGGGTCTGTGTAGTTTGTCTGCCTATTCCACCATCTTCCCAGAACCTCCCAACAGTCTCTTAATTCCAAACCAATAGACTATGAAAACAGAATGAGGGACAGGAGGATGAGGTTGGTCAAAGAGAAGGGCTAAGTCCAGGGTGCCATGTTGGATCTTGGTTTCCAGTCATTGAGAGGCTGGCCTGCTTGCCTGTTGACCCCAGGGTGTCTGTGTCCCCACTGCATCCCTCCCCTCCCAGGGCTGCAATCCTGCTGCTACAAGCTTGGCCATTCCTCTGCTGTGTCTCTGGCCCATGGCCCTCCTCAGTGGCATTGGCCTGAGCTGCATGGTCACTTGCCCTGCTTTTCCTGGCCCAGGTTGCTGGAGGCCCAGCTGCAGGCCCAGAGCCGTGAGTATGAGGAGGAAGTGGAGAGCCTCAAAGCCCAGGTGGAAGCCTTGAAGGAAGAGCTGGACAAGCAGCAGCAGACCTTCTGCCAGACATTGCTGCTTTCCCCAGAGGCCCAGGTGGAGTTCGGCATCCAGCAGGAGTTATCCCGGCTGACCAATGAGAACCTGGTGAGTAGCCATGCCTCACGGCTCAGTTCTGAGAAGTCACTTCCTAGGAGCAAGTGGCACCAAGGATGGCTTTTAGGCAAGTGGACAAGATAAGGTTCTAGAAATACCCCAGTCAGTAAGGTTTGTAGACCTATTCCCATTATCTATTGCTGTATAACAAGCCACCCCAAAACTTAGTAGCTTAAAACAACAACCACAATGGTTTGGATCAGTGGGGGCAACTAGTCTTGACTCCACATGGTGTTGGCTGGGCACCTTAACTCTGGCCAGAGGGTCTGAGACAGCCTCTACCCTGGATCTGGGGCCTTGGTTCTCTTCCATGTCGTCTGTCTCTTTCCACATGCTCTCATCAGCCATTGGTCTAGCCTGAGCCAGTGCCAGCTAGCTTCCAAGATGAAAGCAGAAACTACAAGGCCTCTTAGGGCCCAGTCCCAGAGCTACACATCATCCCTTCAGCTACATGCTCTTGGTCAAAACAAACCACATGGCTAGACCCAATGTGGGGGCACAGGCTCCACATCTTGACAAGAGGAACAGCATCATGTGCAAGGCCAGGCGGGATTGCAGGTGGCCTTCCTTGTGGACAGCAATGCCAGAGAAATGGAAGAGAGTCTGTCCTCAGAAGTCAGACTCATAAAAAGAAAGAAGAAAATGTTTTTTAAAACCTGAACCTACATGGGATTAACCTAAGCAATATGGAAGAGGGAGAACGATAGGGGAGGCCTGAGCTGAGCCAGGAGACCTGAGGGTGTGTGAACCATGTTAGAGGGGTGGCAAGGAAGAGGAGAGCATGGACAAAGGCACTGGGTAGGAGTGATACTGGAGGGCTGGGTGGCCCTAGAGTTGAGTGTGCCTGTGGGGCTACAGCTGGAAGCGCCTCAAGCCCGCCCAGCCATGGTGGTTGTCTAAACTTTATAACCAAGTGGCCTCAAGGAAATGAACCTTGCACCCTGTCCCCTTCCTGTCTGCATGTCACTTTTTGTCACACACACACACACACACACACACACACAAGTGGCTCTGTGGAAAGAAAAAGCACTAGTTGCCATGAAGTCCATTCTGACTCCCAGACTGGAACTATGCTCCATAGGGTTTGCAATGGCTGATGTTATGGAAGGTTTTTCTGTATAGGCGCCTGTAGGTAGACTTGAACCACTAATCTTTTGGTCAGCAACTGTTTCCACCACCCAGGGACTCCTTTATACACTGCCGAAAACCCAGCCATTGAAAACCCCCTGGAGCCCAGTGCTGCTTTGACACACTTGGGGTCCCCATGGCTTGGAATCGACTCGGTGGCAGCTGGTTTTTATGGAGAGAAGCACGCAGATCAGAATGCCAGGCTGGCTTCTGCCAAGTATGGAGATAGTGTGGGAAACACACTTGTCAGCCTCGGCCCCCTGCAGGGGTCACTGACCAAGTGGTGTGGTAAGTGACCCCCTGACAAGGAGGGCTGTTCACCAGAGAGAGTTCTGGGTCAGCTCACAGGGACAGGGCTTCCAAAGCCACATGGGGAGAGTCAGTGAATGGTCCCACTTTGAGAAACTACTAGGGCAAAAGAAGATGGCACCATGAGTCCTTCAGCCAGATGAATGGGCCCTGGGGCACAAGGGTGAAAAAGAGGAGGAGCCCCCAGCTTGTAGCCTAATGGAGGTTCCTTGCAGAGTACCCCGCTTTCCCAGGCAGGGCTGGGACCCATGGGCAGCAGTCAAGTTCATGTTCACCCTCCAGCAAACACCAGTGCCTGTCACATGCCGGCTGCAAAGCACTGATAACCAATAGGGAACTCGAGGTGTGCACACAGCATGCTGGGTGCCTGAGAGGTCGCGTTTATGGAATTCAGAAGCACAGCTTCCAGCTGGAGTGACTGGGGAGGCCACTGACCTTCCCAGAGGCCCTGTGGAGGGGAGTGTGATTGCCTTTCTTGGCAGCGACTTGAAAGGTCGGCCGTGTCTCCCGGGGCATGCTTCTCTCAACTTCCAGATGCATCCAGGGTGGAGCTGATTCTTTTCTAAGCCATCCATGGTTTTACCCTCAGCAACTTTGGGCCTCACTAGTTCCACCAGCTCCTCACCCATGAGGTTCAGTCCTGTGTTCCCTTTCTTCTTTCCTAAACTTTCCCACGTCAAGAGTTCTTGGAAGTGGTTCCCGAACTTTGCGGTGTGTTAGAATCCCCAAGGGAAAACAAAGTTGAGTGGACTCGAAACCATGGCAAACCTACTTGTGTCACCTGCCCCACAGAGTTTCCAACACAATGCAACGCGCTGCTGTCGAGTCAGATCCGACTCATAGTGACCCCTCCTTGGGTTTCTGAGGCAGTATCACTACGGAAGCAGATTGCCCAACCTTCCTTCCAAGGAGTGGCTGGTGGGTTTGAACCGCTAGCCTTCTGGTTAGCAGTCAAGGGCCTTAGGCACTACGCCACCAGAGCTCCCACAGGATTTCCAGTGGCCGGTTTTTCGGAAGTAGATCACCAGTCCTTTCTTCTGAGATATCTCTGGGTGGCCTCAAACCTCCAACCTTTTATTTATTTTTAATTTTTTATTGCTATTTGAGTGCACATTTACAAAGCAGATTCGTTTTACTCTCAGCAGTTTATGCACGTTTGATTTCACAGCCCCAATTACAACCCCAACCATGAAAAGCTCTTCTCCCCGTGACTACCCCTTCTGTGTGCCCTTATCTAGGCATTCTTGCCTGTTAAGCTTCCCTTCTGTGTGAATGCTGCCCCTTTAATGTCTCACAGTTGAGAACCTTCAACCCTTTGTGGTTAACAGCCAAGCGCATTAACTGTTTGAACCACCCATAGACACCAGCATCCAGTAGGGGGCTTTTAAAACTCCCAAGACCCTGCTTGTGCCCAATACCAGTTAAATCAGAATCCCGGGCTGGGGGGGGGGGCATGGGGGCTGGCCATCAGGAGTTTTTAGAGATCCCCAGGCGACTGATTCCAAAGTGCAGCCATGTGTTGGGCCATTCCCCTTAACACAGTAGGAATGCAGTACTCAGAGGTGTAAGATGGGTACAGGCTTAGACGACCAGCAAACCAGGTGCAGGGCTTCACCCTTGCAAAGCCATGGTCACAGTCATGTGTCAGAAGTCCCCTCTGTGCTGGAGTGGTCCAGGTGGGGTATGGTATTTCCTGGCTCTTTTCCCAGAACCTGGCTAAGGTGTCCGAGCCCTTGAAGACAACTGACCATAGGAGCTGAGGCCCTCCTTCCAGATTCAACTTTCCTTGTTGGAGTGGCTCGTGTTTTATTAGCTGTGGACAGAAGGTGCAGCATCTAGTGTCTGACCTCCCAGGGTGTAGTGATGGTTTTCCATGTGGTGGAAAAGACAGAAAACATGTCTTCGGGTCTGGTGATATCATGGAGAGGGGAGTGTGGGGTCAGATGGGAGTTGTAGAACTGGGGTTCTTGTCCTGACTCTGTCTGGAGCAGTCACCTATAGAATCTGTCTCAAGTCTCTCAAGATGCCTAAGTCCTCTGTACACACTGGCCTCTAGCTCAGAGTTCCCTTGCAGGTCCATGCAGGTTTGTCTCTGCTGCCTCACCTGCCATTCAGGGTGGGTTTTCCAATAGCTCTCAGTCTGAGAACCGTATTTTAAAATCTATTCTTAAGCCCTCAATGACATCTCTCTAGGTCTGTAGTGTGCAGTGGCCGCAGCACTAGGCTTTTGGCAACTTGTCTGAAGATCAGCCTTAAATTGTCCCCCCAGATGTTTTCTGACATCCCAAGAGGGAGTGCTCACCTCTGTCTTCTGCATCACTCTAGCCTTAGAGCCTTGGCTGTGATCGGGGGCAGGGGTCCCTTTTCTCCTCTCTGCCTCTCAGGCCACAGAGGATCATGCTTCCCAACTGGAACCAGGGTGGCCCTCACACAGCAAAGCCCCAGCCCACCCCAGCAGCTTGCTGTTCTAGGTCTCAATGGGCTGATTTGCTTCTGTGCCAACAGTTGCTAGGGATGGGGCAACAACACAGAGCCCACAGCCACTGTCTTGTTTGCTTCTGGGCCCCAGGTAGTCTCCCTGTCCTACTGGCTAGTCCTGCCAAGTGTCCCCCCTTCATCCTCACACCTCCACCTGTCCTTCCTTCCAGGGACACTGGCCATCCCACTCCAGGACTCTCAGGCTGAATGTCTCCTGGGGGGTTGGCATGACAACCAAGGAGGCACAGCTTCCGTAGCCTGGGGATCCAGTGAGGCCCCAGTAAGGCTGAGCCAGGAGGAGCTGCCCTGTCCTTATGGAGAGGGCCCTCTGACTTACACTTAGCTCCCTGGTGCAGGTCTCGGACCAAGTGGGTCAGACCCACGCTTCTCAGATGGCCATCCACAGGGCCCCTCCAGGCAGTGACCACCCTGTACGAGGATCCCACTTGGCACAACCTGGGGCTGGGTTCCCAGCTCTTCTCACACTGTTGCCTCTGCTCTCAGGACCTTAAGGAGCTGGTGGAAAAGCTGGAGAAGAATGAGAAGAAACTCAAGAAGCAGCTGAAGGTCCACATGAAGAAAGTTCAGGACCTAGAAGGTAGGGTGGGTGAGCAGTGCACGAGCGTGGGTTGGAAGCAGAAGGGACTTGGCTGTGCCTCGGGGTGGTGAATCACCTGCCCCTTTCTGGACACTTTTTCCATTGCCCTGACTTTCTGTCAGCGATGCCCTGTCCAGCGGAGTGAGAGAGAGAAACCTCCACCCTGAGAGTTTAAACAGTCTCAGTTTGTCAAATCTGCATGAAGACCCTTGAATTTGTAAGTATTTGGGTACTTACACTCTCACTCTGAGCAAGGCTCCAAAAGGCCAAGGGACAGGGAGCAAGAAAGATAACCCTGTGGCCCTTGCCCCCAAAGGGTTAAAATTGGGAGGCAAGACTTTCTGGTATGAAAGAATACTGTGTAACCAGTTAAAAAAAAAAAAGTTGCTCTTGAGTTTCCTGGTGAGCCCATGGGTGTCAGAGTAGATCTGCCCCATAGCGTTTATGATGGATTGTCTGTTGGAAATAGATTACCAGGCCTTCCTTCTGAGGCACCCTTGGGTGATCTTGAACGTTCAACCTTTCCCTTACCAGTGGACATGTGACCTGTTTGTACCATCCAGGCAGTGCTCGCTCTGTAACACAAAGACCCAATCACAGGGCCCTCCCTCCTTGTGATGGGGAGTCAGGAGGGAGAGGGGGCAGTTCTGTGATTAAACCTCCCATCTGAAACCCAGCAGAGACGGGTCAGACAGACATTTAAGTCACTCCTCCAGAAACACACAGAAGGTTGGCTTCTCTCCCTGCTGTAAATCTCATCACGTTATCCTATGGTAGTTACGGTTGTGTGTCAGTTTGGCTGGGCCTGGTTTTGAGTGGCTTGGCAGCTGAATGTATCTCTTCTCTTTGATGAGACTAGTAATCACCTCCATAGTGGAATCTGCTGTGAGCAGCTGAGTAGCTTGCCTTTGGGGTGTGGTCTGCTTCCAGTATATAAGGACAAGCTTTGAGGAAGATCTCTACCTTTTTGGCATGCTTGAATCCTGCATTTGCCCACATCTTCATCCAGTGGCTTGCTATGTTGCCTGCAATTTGGGGATTGTTCTTGGACTTGAGTCAGTGGACTTTTGGTTTTGGGATTGTGTCATTTTGCTTGCTGACCTTGGGTTCATCAACCTCAGTAGCTGCATAAGTTTCAAGAAGCCTCCAGCTCCAGTGGACCTAGAACAGGTGCAAGAGCTGTAGCCCAAGGTCAAGGGGCCTTCACCCAGCCCCTAGAGCTGGCACTCTGAATTTGGACTTCTAGCCTCCCAAACCATAAGAGAATAAATTCCTATTTGTTGAAGCAATCTACTTGTGGGATGCCTGTTATAGCAGCACTAGAGAACCGAGACACAGCCCCTGCCCTAGCATCATACTTGCCACTCCTGCTTGGGCATCTTGATGTCCTCATCCTTGCAGCCTCTGCTCAAGAGCCATGTCCCCCAGGATTTGAGTCCCATCTTATCCTGTCCTACCTGTCAGTCATATTACCGATCATCAGTATTTTGTTTAATCTCTTACTGTGTCCACCTGCTGCTCTAGACCCTAAGCTCTAGGAGGGCGGGGACATCTGTTCTCTTCACCCTCAGGTCCCAGGTCCCCACCAGGCACACGCACACTTTCTAGCAAGCTGTTTTTCCCTGTACTTGCCCACAAGCCCCTTCATCTTCGGATTTCCTTTTTCTGTTACTCACGGTCTCACTCTCCTAGTTGCCCAGGCATCAAGCTTTGCCCCTGTCATTCAGTCTTAAAGACCAGCTGCTCCCTCTCAAATGCTTGTCTGCATCTGCCCTCTCACAACCCACTGGCCAGCCCTCACCCCCTAGCTTGCAGACAGCTGCAGGAGCTCCCCAGTGCCCTTCCTGAGCACTGTTGGCCTTGGTCACCTCCTCCTGTGTGCAGAATGCAATCCTGGTCTCCTTTGACATGCCCTGTCGTCTCTCTCCTGCTCAGCTGCCCAGGCGCTGGCCCAGAATGAGAGGAGGCGTGATGAGCTCACCCGGCAGGTCACCGTCCAGCGAAAGGAGAAGGACTTCCAGGGCATGCTGGAGTACCACAAGGAGGATGAGGCCCTTCTCATTCGGAACCTGGTGACAGGTAGGACCTGCTGTGATACCCCACTCCCATTTTTCCACCCTCACCCCACTCCTGTTTCTCTCCCCACCATAACCACCCCTGCCCGATCCTTCACCTCTGACATTACCCCACCACCACCCCATCTCTGTTCTCCACCTCCCATCCCCCACCTCGGACACTACCCCTCTGCCACCCCACCTCTGTCCTCCATCTCCTACCTCTGACATTGCCCCACTACCACCCCACCACTGTCCTCTACCTCCCATCTTCCACTTCTGACACTACCCCGCCACCACCCACCTCTGTCCTTCGTCTCCCACCTCTGACACTATCCCTCTGCCACCCCACCCTCTGTCCTCCACCCTCCACATACAAACACCTCCCCGTAGCCTCATTCCCCCTACAGCCCCAACTCCATCCTCTTCCTCTTCTCCACCCCCATCATCTCAGCTGTTGCTCCTGATAATGACTCACTGCTCTTCCAAATAAGAAGTTTATCTTTTGCCATCTGGATCAACAGGTCTAGGAGGGAAGGTCCCTGTGCTCGGCCTGGGGGGTGGAGAGGGCAGGAGGGCCCCATGTAGCACCCCTCCCCAGTTGTCACTCCAGCCTCCCTCTCCTTTGGTAAAACTCTCTGTGAGCGACAGAGCTCTTTGGCAATGACATCAGTAATGCTCCTTGGCTACTCGTGTCCTTCTACCAGGCTCTGCTCAGCACGTCAGACTCCATGCCTCCTCTAACCTGTCAATGTCCCTTTCAGTAGGAACTACTCTGATTCCCATGTTACAGCCAAGGAAGCCGAGATCCTATCAGTAACTTGCTCAGGTCACACAGCTGATACTTGGTGGGTCAAGCATTCAAATCCCTTATGTTTGGGTAGAACTTTACAGTGTAAAGTGCTATGTAACATGCTTCCAAGCATGGATTCTGGGATCAGATGACCTGGGTTCAAATCTGGCTCCTTTACGTCCTAGTTGTGTGACCCTGGGCATGTTACTTACCTTCTCTGTACCTCCATATCCTTGTGTATAAAATGGAGGTGTGGTTGTACCCACAGCATACAGCAGCACTGTGCCACCAGAGCTCCTTAATATCTTGTTGTTTGAAGTATGGTCCCTGGAGCAGCAGCAGTGGCAGCATCACCTGGGAGCTTGTTAAATGCAGACTCTTGGCCCATCCCAGGCTCCTGAACCTCAATTGCCATCCTGTGGAGATGCCAGCTGACTCTTACGCACAGTGAGGTCTTGGGAACACTGGGTTAACACCATTAGCAAAGTGCTCAGCTTCACGCTGGTCACCTAGTGACAGTTATTTCTGTTGCTGTATTCACCTGGGCTTTGTCATCTGGGCAGGGGGCCAGGCTGGCCTACATGCTCCCTCACGTGTGGCCCAGGGTTACCAGGCAGCTGTGAGCACTGCTTCCCAGAACTCCCCCTTCATGGGTTGGTGCTTCAGGACTGAGGAGCCCCCATCCCAGGTGCTATTAGGTCAGAGAAAAGCCCCCTGCCCCTCAGGCTCTCTCTGACTGCTCAGGAAGGTTGTATCTGTCATACTGACAGGCTGCTCAGATTTTCCCCTTGGCAGTTCCTCTGGGGGCCGGCTTCTGTGGCCTGCTTTCCTCATGGCCTAGCTTGCCAACTGCACCAGCTCCCTCCCCTCTGGTCTCACATCATCTGGCTCCAACGAGCCCAGATTCCTGCTCTGCACCCACACAGCCCAGGACCCAGCTCAGAGCCAGGAGGAGGGTCTAGAGGAGAGGTTCTGGGTAAAACAGGGAGGAGTCTGGTGCTCTGACCCTCTGACCTCGAGCTGCAGCTCCCCTCCCTGTGGTCCCTTGCTCTCCTTTTGTAAGATGGGGAGACTGCACTGGCCCCACCTACCCCCACCATGAAGTAACAAACCAGTGTGAAAGTACATCGTCAAAACTGCAAAACCCTCCTCAAATGTGAGGAACTCGAAGAAGTGGTAGCTGCTTCTTGCAGGGGGATTTGAAGTTCAAAAGAGAGATAAACGTTATTTTATAGAAATTTACTTTTTCCAAAAAGTATGTTGCAGTCTGCTTTGCGTACACCCAGGGAGACAGGAGAGTGGTCTCTGCCGAGGAAGACTGTGCTTTCGTTGTTCAGCTGGGGAGTTAAATAGCTTGGTTTTTACTGAGTATCCTGCTCTTATAAAGGCTATCCTCCTCTATGATTGTCCAGTAATTAAAGGTGATGTAAGTTCGGGCCTCAAACTTCCTTCAGCAGGCTGCATCTTGTTCACACATTGCTAGGAGCAAACCTTTAATCTACGGTGAATGAAACATGAAGTTCACAACATCAGAGAGAAAGAAAAACAATGAGGCTGGCTGTTCTGGTTACCTAGTGCTGCTCTGACAAGAATATACCACAAATAGAATGGCCTTAACAAACGGAATTTATTCTTACACTTTGGAGGCTTTAAGTCCAAGTTCAAAGTGCCAAGCGCTATGGGCTGGGTGAAAGCCCCTCAGCCTTGGGTTTCAGTTCTGCCTCCAGCTCCCAACCCACTGAAGCTAGAAGCTTTTCTTCACTCAGACAGCTGCTGGCTGCTGAGGCTGCCAAGCCCAAGGTTGACAAGTAAAAAGGCACAGTCCTGATGTTACCAAACCACACAGCAGGCCATTCATTCAAGTCCATTGTAAGTCCCCAGGTCAGCAGAGCATGGCAGGCTGCTGAACAACAACACGGCTACATGCAAGGTCCCAGTGTGCCATAAGCTAGAGACTATCCCCAAGGCTTCTCCTTATATACAGGAAGCAGACCACACATACCCAAAGCAGCTACTCAGCTGTTAGTGGTAGATCCCACTGTGGAGTTGATTGCCAGTCTCGTCATAGGGAATAACTACCACCAGCTGCCCAGCCACTCAACCAGGCCCAGCCAAGTTGACATACAAATTTAACTACCACACTGTAGCCTGATGCGTGGCTGTCTGGGACTTTGACAACGTCTCCTCCCCACAGCTCTTGCTTAGGGTGGTCCCAGGAAGGACCATATCCCGCTAACCTGCCTACACACAGCTCTCAGTCATCTTCCCACCAAAAGACCCCTCCCAAAGAGCCCGTGATTTTATTGAACCCCTTTTAGGTACTCAGCTAACTGCTATGAAGAGAAAAGTCGAACCCAAGGTCCCTGCCCCCTAAGAGGACAACATTTAGCTGAGAGAGGGAACTTAGGTCGCAGTAGAGTGTACCAAAGTCGGATGAGTTGTTTGCAGTCTGCACGTGGGTCACGCTGGAAGCAGATGCTGTAGGTTGGAAGTCTTGGCCTTAAAATGCATTTTGCTGCATAAATATTATTGGCGTCTAATTAGAGCCAAAGACTAATCTATGACCCTATAAAATGCCCCAATGTTAAGCCTGTCCCTGTATTCTGACCTGTAGTGACATTAACTGGAATGATGAGTTTGAGGTGACAAAGCAACCCGAGTACCAACTGGAGATGCTGGCAGCATATTCCCACCTGAGCTGCCTGGCAGAAGATTTGAGGATGTGCCCTGTCCCCTCCCCTGGTGCATATGCATGTGGAAGGGAGATGGCTTCCCCTCATTGTCATTCAGCACATGAGGCCTGGGCTGGAGGTGGGTGGGGGTGAGAATACGGAGCGGGGCAGCAGGGAGAATGCCTGGGGTCTTGTGCCCAGCTTATTCCATTCCCCACAGAGGCCTGGTGGCACAGCGCTTTCTTTAGTGCGTGACTGCTAACTGAAAAGGTAGTAGTTGGAACACACTAGCCACTCTGGAAGAAAAAGATGTAGCAGTCTGCTTCTGGTTCTGTAAAGATTACAGCCTTGGAAACCCTATGGGGGAAGTTCCAGTCTGTCCTATAGGGTCACTATGAGTCAGAATTGACTCAATAGCAATGGATTTGGGGGGTTTTGGGGATACCATTCCCCAGCTCCCCTCACTCACCTTTCCTCTTCCTTTGCACGGGGCTGCTCCTCCCCCTCCTCCTCCAGCTCCTCCTCCTCCAGCTCCTCCTCCTCCTCCAGCACCTGTCACCACCAGGTGCTCTAGGCCTGGTTGGTTGCCTCCCCTGCTTAGTCTGGAGTGGATCCCGAGACCCTCGGGGCTTCAGTCAGGAAGTCCCATGGGGCTGAGTATGAGTCTGCGGTTAATGGCGAGGATCTTGGAGTCTTGTGGCAGGGCAGAGGTGGGAGTGAGAAGAGACTGGCTGGAGGAAGTAGGAAGTGGGTTAGTGGCCATCCCCGACCATGGCCAAAGTAGCCCTGGCCATGAGGGAGGCTAGTGAGGGGATGCCAGACAGTGGCACTGAAGCGTTAAGGGCATGGTTGTGGCAGAGTGCCTGCTGGATCTCTTCTGGCTTTCTGAGCATAAGCTGCCAGGTAAAGTCCCCGAATGGGCCAGAGGTCACACCAGCCTTCCCAATGCTCGGCCAACACGCTGTCTTTGTAAGTGACAAATTCTCCTTGGACCTGCCCTCCTTGTATTCTTGCTGCTAAAAAACCCATTGGGCCCATGATAGGATGCAGAGATACAAAGGAATTGGAAGTTCTCCCAATGGGGGAGACAGGCTCGTCTGCAGCCTGTCTCTGACCCAGACCCCTTCCTTCTTGGCTGTGAACCATGGTATCTGGGTATAAACTTAGGCCAGGAGCTACTTGGGTTCATTTACTCCACGTTATAAGGACAAGGCATTAACAGCCCATCTCAGTGTTGTAATCTGAACAATTAGAAAGATGGTTTAAAAAAAAATTAATACATTAACCATAACAATGTTCAACAAACTGAGAGAAGATATTAATAATGTATATAACATAAGGGATAGTATCCTGGATACATTTTTTAAAAACTACGAATAAGAAAAATGCAAATAATCTAACAGAGAAATGGGCACGATATTTTAGCAGGCAATTGACAGATGAAATCTGATCAATGAACATATTAATATTAGCTCAACCTCACCTATTTGATGATCATGATCTACATTAAACTAATAGTGTGGACGAGGCTGGAAGAAGTAGAAACTCCTATCAACCTCTGGTTGCAGGATACATTGGTACAGCTGTTTTAAAGATTAGGTAGGTAGGTAGGTAGATAAACACACACATACATAGTAGATTTGAAGGTATATAAAAATCTAGGCTCCAGAAATCCTAACGGGGGACATTTTTAGGAACATGATTCTGTATGTCTTGGTTTTATCTGATAGTTTCTGCACCTACTAGTTGTTGGGCCCAGAAGAAGTTTGTATCTCCCAGGGCAGCTGCTCCCCCACTCCTCTTAGTCCCCACCAGCCAGCCCCCTAGTCCCCTGACAGTCCTATTCTTAGAAGAGCTACAAGAAAATATTGGAAGTATTTCTATTTCTGACCACGATTCTTAGAGCCCAAGTGTTCCCTGTAAACCTAACTCCTGCTTCTCGGTGTTGTTGCCACTGGCAGACCTGAAGCCCCAGACCCTATCAGGCACAGTGCCCTGTCTCCCTGCCTACATCCTCTACATGTGCATCCGGCATGCAGACTACGTCAATGATGACCTCAAGGTGCACTCCTTGCTGACTGCCACCATCAATGGCATTAAGAAGGTCCTGAAGGTAAGTGACCCTGCAGAGGGGAATGGTATGTGGGGGACAGAGGGAGCCAGCCTCTCCCCATTGCTTCTCTGTGTCTGGGTTTTACAGTAGTAAGTTCTCTGAAAGCAAATGATTAGAGTACAGGAGCACTCAACCATGTCACTGGGATGCCCAGGGTAGTTCCCAGAGAAATACATCCAGGCTCAGAAATGTCAGGAAGCCCAGAAACCCAGGCTAGGCCTCCAGCTAAGCATCCAGGGAGTCCTCAGTGCTTGCAGATGCCTTGAGGAGGAAGGGATCTTGGGGCAGGAAGAAGTCCAGTCTGACTTGGTTCTGTCCCAGGGTGATCAAGCAGCACAAATTGCTGAACAGAAGTTGAGCCAAGTCCCCCAACTTGCCAGTGATGAAGATGTCAGAGAGATGTGGTGCCTCAGCCATGGGTCAGGAATCTGTCCTGGAGTGAAATGCAGGGCACAACCTGAACATAGGCCCTCTCTAGACCTTTCTAAGGGGCCAGACACTTGCCCAGAGCACTGACACAGGAACGGACTGGCATTCATCAGCTTCCATGTTGAGGCAGCCACACCAAAACAGAGCTGCTCACTAAGAGTCCAGGAATGCCACTTGAAGGCACAGGGCTCTTCATGAATGTAGTGGCAGTTGGGCAGCCACAGCAAGAAGTTGACCTACAGGGAGATGAAGCCCAGGCATAGGGGATGAGGGCCAGTGGCATGAGGTGAGATTTTTAGGGGTATTAGCTCTCAATAAGGAGCTCTGGTAGCATAGTGGCTAAAGCACTTGACTGCTAACCAGAAAGCTGGTGGTTCAAACCCACCAGCTACTCCTCGGAAGGAAGGTTGGGCAATCCTACTTCCGTAGTGATACTGCCTCGGAAACCCAAGGAGGGGTCGCTATGAGTCGGGGCCGACTCAGCGGCACATAACAACAACAACAACAAGCTCTCAATAACTCCCAAGAGTTAATGCTTTTGGAGACTCTTCTGCTCACAGAACACAGCCATTTCCAGGATGCAAAACCATCCCCAGACCAATGCTGAAGTCCCCTGAGCCACTGTGCTCTGCCCCCACTCTCCTACGAAGAAAATGCCAGAGCTAGCCTTTTAACTGCTAGCTTTAAGTCAATTTTCCATCAGCTCTACTGCCTTCCTTGCTGTGGGCTCCATAGGCAACTTTATCCACTCACAGCTCTAAACCTACATTATCTACATGCCAAACCAAACTAGTTGCCAACAAGTCAAGTCCAATTCCTGGTGACCCCACATACGTCAGAGTAGAGCTGTGCTCTGCAGGGTTTTCAGTGGCTGTGACTTTGTCTCCGAGGTGTCCCTGGGTAGACTCAAACTTCCAGCCTTTTGGCTGGCAGTCAAGCACATTAACCCTCGCACCATTTAGGGACTCCATCTACATGCTGATGACTCTTAAATTTGTGTCTCCAGCCTTGACCTCTTTTAGGAATTCTAGCCTCTTTCTTCATATTTCTACCTAAAGTTCCAACAGGCAAACTCAACCTATCTAGAATGTTTGTGATTCCCTAACCGCTAACACCTGCACCTCTCCCACTCTGTACTATTTCATTTAAAGCACACTGCTCTCCTAGTTGTTCAGTCCAAAACCTTAAGGATTATCCTTCATTTCTTTCTCTCTTCCCTAATGTTCTGGTTACCTAGTGCCACTCTGACAGGAATATACCACAAATGGGATGGCTTGAACAAACAGGAGTTTATTCTTTTACAGTTTGGAGGCTTTAAGTCCAAGTTCAAAGTGCCAGGCTCTAGGGGCTGGGTGAAAGCCCCTCGACCTTGGGGTCTAGCTCTGCCTCCTGCTACTGGCCCACTGGAGCTAGAGGCATTTCTTCACTCAGACAACTGCTGGCTGCTGAGGCTGACAAGCCCAAGATTGACAAGTAAAAAGGCACAGTCCCAATGTTACCAAACCACATGGCAGGCCATTAATTTAAGTCCATTGAAAGTCCCAAGGTCAGTAGTGCATGGAAGGCTGCTGAACAACGACACAGCTACATGCAGGGTCCAAGCATGCCATAAGCTAGAGACCATTTCCAAAGCTGCTGCTTATATACAAGAAGCAGAACACATTCCCTAAGGCAGCTACTCAGCTGCTTACAGTAGATTCCACCAGTCTCATCATGGGGAATACTACATCCAGCTGCCCAGCCACTCAACCAATCCTAGCCAAGTTGATACACAAACATGACCACCACACCTAATATCTAGTCCATCAGCAAAACCTGTCATTTTGATTCCAAAACAAATCCCAAATCATACCACTTATCACCATTACCACTACTTCGATCCAGTGCAAGGCCTGGTTATTCAGTCCTGCAGCAGCTCCTGTTGTCTCTGTCTTCTGCCTGCAGACAGAGTGGCCCTTTGAATGGTCAGAGTGGTCAGATTTCACAATTCCCCTATTTAAAACCTTCCATTCAACACAATCTCTATCAAAATCCCAGCTGGCTTTTTTGCAGAAAATGATATGTTGTTCCTAAAACTTGTGTGGAAATTCCAGGGATCCATATTATGTAAAACAGTCTTGAAAAAAAACAAAGTTGGAGGGTGCACATGTCTCAATTTCAAAACTTACTACCAAGCTATAGTAATCAAGACAGAGTGGGACTGGCACAAGGATAGGCATGTAGATAAACAAAATAGAACTGATAATCTAGAAATAAACTCTTACCTCCACAGTCAATTGATTTTTGGCAAGGGTGCCAAGACCATTCAGTGGGGAAAGAATAGTCTCTTCAGCGAATGGTACCAGAACAACTAGACATCCATATGCAAAAAAAAAAAA